ACACTGTAATGAGCCCCTGCTCGCTCGGTTCCACTCTCCCGGCACTCCTCTGCTACTATTGGATCAGATGTCAGACCGCAACGTCTGATTCTTCGATCGTCCGATAATCCGGGATTCGAACTACAGCTATGTGCCGTTCCAATCCAGCTCAGAACAAACACCAGGCAGGCTGTATGTAAGTTCCAACAGGGATCTGCTTTATTGGATGCACACACACACTTTTATACTACGGAAAATTGTATACTTACCTATCGGTAATTTTCCTTTCCTGACGCCAATACATGGCAGCATACAATGGGTATGGCTCCACCCCCCACCCAATCACAGGACCAGTTATACTATAAATTAAAGCCCGCCTCCCGAGGCCACCATTCTCGTAACAAGTACTCAATGCGAAAGCCATGGGCGGGTCCTGTATACTGCCATGTATTGGCGTCAGGAAAGGAAAATTACCGATAAGTATACAATTTTCCATATTCCTGACGCAAATCCATGGCAGCATACAATGGGATCTAACTAGCACACATCCAGGGAGGGTAATTCTGAGATATTTATTTATACCACTGGTAAACACATTCAGAAACAACTGCACCTTGGACAAGACTCCTGGACAGACCCTGTAATGGGACAGGAACATACACCAGGTTACTGCCTTCCAGAATAACTCTGGAGGTACATCACTAAATTCTATCCGTAAGGATACACACCAGAAAGATGAACAGATCGACCTGAAAGAAGAAGAGGCAACCTCCATGTTCTTCCCCAGCAAAGCAGCCACATTTCCGGCATGAACTGAAACTAAAACTTGTCTGTGAAATGGTAGCAATAAGGTGGTTTGAAGGCTAATCTTGACTATCCAACACCCTCCTCCCCCCCCGAGGAGATTGCTGTAAGAAACTATTTGACACGTTACTGTCCATCCTGAGTAAGCATGATCTAGATGAAGTCGAGGAAGGAAGAACATATACAGCACTATCTGTAGATTCTAAGGGAAAGAGATTCTACTGAAGAGTAAATTCTTGTGCAAGTCCTTAAGAGCCGACTTATCAATTAATGAGCTACCCCTTGTGTCTCAGGAGGATTAATATATAGAGGGTACTGATACCCAAGTACACATTGCTTGCCTGAAGAAAGTCCAATTGACGGACTCCCTGGCACCCCGACTGAGCACCTCCGTCAGTG